TTCGAGCTCGTCTCGGTCTCAGAGGCGACTTCGTCTTTGTCACAGCCATGTATCATCTGTTTCGCCTCGCCGCGGCCCGTGCAGGGAGGACAGGTCATCCCCTGCACCTCGAGGAGGCCGTGGCACTGCAGGCTCCAGCCCGCGTCGCGCTCCGACTCCCGCTCCGCCATCGCCGGTCACTTTTCCTCGATGCTGGTATGTTGAGGCGGCGAGTCGTCGAGCTTCGCGACGGGGCATAAGGCAGGCAGACATCGAGGGGGACGCTGTGCCTCCTCCTCCTCCTCCTCCTCCTCGTCCTCCTCCCCCCTCCTTTTTGTGCAAGGGCTATTGCACACGTGCCACTTGTATTTCTCCCTCCGGAAATGTAGGCCACAATACATACACGCATTTGCACTGGATAAGCCGGGTGATGCATGGGCGAGCTCATGAATTGCGCACCGTAGCTACGACCTGTGCCTCCCGGGCACTACTTGCGAAGTGTTTTCCATGATGGGCCGGCACTGACCCAGAGCGACAGCCCGGGGGGAGAGTTGAAGGGGGCAGCTCATTAGCCCCCAGCTCTGCTTCTGTGCGTTCCGTCGCCTCTTGACTCAAGACCGGCCAGTCAAAGCGATTGCAAAACAAACTGCCAAGCCTTTCAGCAAATACATCTCCTCACCTACATCTTACATCCCATTCACTCCACATCTTGATTAGCATTATCATTGTTCTTCTTCTTTGGAGCGCCTGCCGGCGCTCGAACTGCCCTGCCCCGCGGTGGTCCGGGCACTTTCTGTTGAGACGTGCTCGCATTTTTGGGTTCCGAGACGCCCTGGGGTGAGGTGTTCGCGCCGATTTCGCTTGAGACATCGTGCGATCTCTGACCTCGCAGGCGCCCTGCCCTGCCCCGTGGCGCCCTGCCCCGTGGCGCCCTGCCCCATGGCGGTTGGCCTGAGACATCCTCGCAACGCTGGGTCCCGAGATGCATTGAGCTGAGGTGGTCGGGCCACTTTCGCCTGAGACATCATCCGAACTCTGACCTCGGAGATGCATTGCCCCAAGGTGGTCTGGCCACTTCCGCCTGAGACCCTCGCCATTCTGAGTTGCGAGATGCCCTGAGCAGGTGATCTGGCCACTACCGCCTGAGACAACCGCAACTCTGACCTCTTGGGGCCTCCTGGGGAGCCTCTTGGGCACTCTTGGCCAGGGCCCAGAAAACCAGGCCAGGGCCCAGGAACAACATCAGAAACGCTTCAGAAACAAAACTTGAAACACACCTTGAAACCAAACCCTTGAAACAATTGTCCGGCTGTGGATCCGCCCGTCGGGACACGCCGCCCCATGCATGTGCGATGTTAACCCTTGCGCGCCTGCATATTTGTGTGTCTGAGACCACAGCTCACGTATATATATATATATACACATACATACATACACATATATATACATATATATATATATATATATATAGAGAGAGAGAGTTGTGACTCGTATCATGCGTCCATGTATCTACATGCATGGTACGGCATCTTACGTGCGTGCATGTACATGCGCTGTGCCAGTGCTTACGTGTGTGCTTGCACATGCATTGTATCGCATCTACGTATGTGTATGCATAGACATGGTCTGTCTCTCACGTAGGTGTACGTATACGCATGGTACAACATCATACATGTCTGTACATATACGAGATATGTGGACCCTATGGGGGTGCAGGGAGTCACCCAGGTCCTTATCGGAGTACACGTTGGATTCCATAGGGATACACGTAGGAATCCGCATGGGTACACGTAGGATTCCATAGGGACACACGTCGTATTCCATACGGATACACGCGGGATTTCATAGGGATGCACGCACTTAGGATTCCATAGGGGTAGACGTAGGATTCCACAGGGATGCGCGTAGGATTCCATGGGCATACACTTACTTTGTTGGGCGCGGGTTCAAAAAAACACTATATATAGCTATTGTGCACTATAGGATTCTATCAACATGCACTAAAAATAAGAAAAATAATTACACATAGTGAAACAATGGTGAACACGATAGTGTTAAATAGTGAAAATAGTTTTTTTTTTTTTTTTTTTTTTTTAAAAAAAAAAAAAAAAAAAATCATGAAACTAGTCAAAAAATAGTGAAACACATAGTGAAAATGAAAAAAATAGCCAAGTCTAAGAAAACTCACAAACCAGCTTGCTTCTCTTCCTTTCTCTCCTGGCTTTCCGCAGCGGCAGACCGCTTTTACATTGCAAGTTCCGCAGTGCAGCGGTTTGGCCGCTTCAGAACTTTTGTTTTTAATCGCGCCCAGAGAGTTGCGCCCCCTCCTCCTCTTCCCCCCCCCCCTCCCCCCATGCAAAGCGGTTGGGCCGCTGAGGGGCGGCGCGGGGAGGCAGGGGGGAAGCGAACGCAAAGCGGCTGGCCCGCTGAGGAGGGAGGAGGAAACGGATGAGGGAGGTGACGGAGGGCGGGGGGGGGGGGGGGGGCGGGGATAACAGCAGTTGTATTATTATTCGTATTATTATCATTATTTAAAAGAGAGAGAGAGAGAGAGAGAGAGAGAGAGAGAGAGAGAGAGAGAGAGAGAGAGAGAGAGAGAGGAGAGAGAGAGAGAGAGAGAGAGAGAGAGAGGGGGGAATAAGAAAAACAAACAAAAAAACGAGAATACAACACCAGACAACAAACAACAACACAACACACAAATGCTGTTTTTTGTTGTTGTTGTTGTTTTTATGTTGTTTTTGCGTTGTCTGGTGTTGTCTGGCGCCCGCCCTACAAGACAACGCAAAAACAACAACGCACAGCATAAAACAAACAACAAAAAACACACAACAACACAAAAACAACATGAAAACAACACCCAGACAACATCCAGCTAACATCCAGCCTGCTGCCAATGGGAAGGGGAGGGGGGGGGGGGGGGGAGGAGGGGGGGGGGGGGGGGGCGGAGGGGGAGGGGAGGAGGGGAGGAGGAGGAGCGGCAAGAGGATAGAGGAGGAGGGGGGGGGGAGGAAGAGGAAGAGGGGGAGGGGGAGGACGAGGGGGAGGAGGAGGGGGGGGAGGAGGAGGGGAGGAGGGGAGGGGAAAGATGATAGAGGAGGAGAGGTAGGAGGAGGAGAAGGAGGAGGGGGAGGAGGAGGAGGGGGAGGAGGAGGGGAAAGAGGATAGAGGAGGAGGGGTAGGAGGAGGAGAAGGGGGAGTCAGAGGAGGAGGAGGAAGAGGAATGGGAGGAGCTTCGGAGCTTCGGATTTGGGGGTGCCGAGGCCCAGGAGTGCCAGCACCAAGGGGGTGCCGAGGCCCCCAGGGGGGCGCCGAGGAGGAAGGGGGGGAGGGGGCAGAGGAGGAGGAGGAGGAGGAGGAGGAGGAGGAGGAGGAGGAGCGGGACAAGGAAGAGGAGGAGGAGGAGGAGGGGAAAAGCAATGAAAAAAATCAAAAATAGTGGAAAATATTGAAAAATAATGATAAATAGTGATAAATAGTGAAGTTAATGAAAATAGTATAAAGAATCGAAAAATAGTGAAAAATAGTAAAAATAGTGAGAACAAAAAGCATAAGTTTAGGGATTCCAAGTGTTGCTGATGATAGGACACTGTAAGCTCCTATAGATCTTATAGTGAAACATAGGGGGGGCCATGGGGCACTATCACTATCGGCATTCCTATAAAACTTATAGGCCTCCTAACCAATCCTAACTCATCCAAACCTCTCCTAACATAGAACCATTTACCTAACATATAACTACTTATAAGGCCGCACCCAACAAAGTAGGAGTCTATAGGGACGCACGTAGGTTTCTCATGGGATGTATGTAAGATTCTTTAGGCGCTCATGTAGGATTCTTGCGGGATTCATGCATGTTCTTGTAAGGATTAGTGTAAGGTTTATTTGGGAGTCATCTGGGATTCTTTAAGGATTTATGTCGGGTTCCGGGCGCCTGGGCGTCCGGGCACCCGGGCATCCGGACACCTGGGCACCCGTGCAACCGAGCGGGGCTCCGGCAGCTCGGCATCTGGGCATCGCCTGGGCAGCCGGGCACCTGGGCATCCGGGCATGCGCGGGCATGCACCCGGGCACAGCGTGCACGGGCCCGGGCATCCGGGCACCCGGGCATCCGGGCACCTGGGCACAGCGCGGGCCCGGGCATCGGCACCCGGGCCGGCACCCGGGCACATCATGGGCACGGCATCCGGGCACCCGGGCACCCGAGCGGGGCCGGGCCGGCACCGCCCGGCCAGCCGGGCACCCGGGCATCCGGGCATCTGGGCGCCCGGGCGGGGCCCGGGCACCGGGCACGGGCCCGGGTATCCGGGCACACGGGCATCCAGGCATCCAGACACGCTGGCACCCGAGCGGGGCCGGGCCTCAGGCACAGGCATCGCTTCGGCAGCCGGGCGCATCCGGGCATCCGGCACCCGGGCAAGGTCCGGGCACCGAGGCACGTGCCTGGGCATCCGGGCATCCGGGCACCCGGGCATCCGGGCCGAGCGGGTCCAGGCCTCAGGCAGTTGAGCATAAACGAGCATCGCCCGGGCAGCCAGGCTCCCGGGCATCCGGGCGCCCGGGCACGGCCCGGGCACCTGGGCACGGGCCCGGGCACCGTAAAATAGTCATATACCCCACCAGTTGGCGTCTTTTGTTCCGACTTAGTCCCATGAATTTTTGGGTCTCGGTTTTGGTCGTCCGCCTCCTCCTCCTCCTCCTCCTCCTCCTCCTCCTCCTCCTCCTCCTCCTCCTCCTCCTCCTCCTCCTCCTACTGATCCTCCTTCTATCGATTCTCTGGCTTTCGGGTCATTGCTCCAGTTTCCGATGGCTGTTCGGGGCCCCGGCACCCCAGGAACGCCCCCGGCGATTCGCAGCTGATGGAAAGCACCCCGGGGCTGGAAAGCCAAAGTGAACTGACGAAAACGTTTGAAAATGTACAACCGAGTTGTGATCCTTCTAGTTCCTTTTCGCCTTTGTCCCATCTCTCTGCCTCCCGCCGCTCCCAGAATGCCGCCCCGCTCTCCTGCGCGAAATGGGAGGCGCCCGCGTCCAGCGCGAAGCTCGGGAGGAAGCCCGATTTCGCCTCCGCCGACGCGGGCAAGACCAGAGACGTCATGCCACTGGGTCGGCGCCTCCACTGGGCACGGTCCTCAGTGAGGCTTGACTCGTGCTCGAGGTTCTGAGCGCGAGGTAGCCCAGCAACAGCAAAGAGACGCAACTGCAACTAAGTGGTCCTCGATGTGGTCGTGGTCGCTTGCCGTTATGCAGACAGGCTCCACAAGGTTTCCAGGCGACCACGGAGACTCTCCAGCAGCCTCGCCTCGCCGAGAGCGTTCCAGGGGTACCCGGATCGTCCCGAACGGCCGCCAGACAGCCGAGATATGCCCCGAAAGCCAGACCTCCTCGTGACCGATCTTCCTCACCATCACCCTTCCTCATCTTCATATTCCTCTTCACCGATCCTCCTCATCATCTCCATCTTCAAAGACACCGCCCCGATCATCTAGACCCCGCGCTCCTCAACTTCACCGATCCTCCTCATCATCGATCCTGTATCTCGGTCTTCGCAGTCATCACGCGCCGGGATGGCGACGATGCTGGGGCTGAGCTGTTTCTCTGGCTGGGCCGTCGTGTTTCACTGCGTGTCGCCCCCGTGCCCGCGCAAGAACAGAGTACAGTTTCCGGCTGGGCCGCAGATCCCTCGCAGACGCATTGAGTCAAATTCTCATGCGCGCTAGGCTTCTTATTGAAAGCTTTGCTACAGCCTGGCGTAGTAGTGCCTGTACCCTGCTGTTGCCGCCCAAGGATTGGCAGAAGAAACGTGCCGCGTGCTGGTGCAGACGACACTGTCTCAGAAGTTGAAGCCCCCCTCCCTCTGTTCACACCCTCTCGCACTCGCCAGGGTCGGCTCTGATGACGCGAGGGCTATGATCCAGCCCTCTCGTTTTCTCTTTCCTCTCGTGCCACTTGTCCACGGAGGTACGTGCTTCATGGAGTGCCTTCTGGAATCATCCATCTTCTGACCTGCGATAGGGTGCTGACCATACCGGAATGCATTGGATCGGCGTCGTGGCGCAGGCTGCAAGGGCCACATGGATGATGAAGTTGTTTCGGTGACCGATGTCTTAGCGTGATCCCCTGGGGTTCATGTTCGAGGTAAACGCAGTCATTTCGAGGACAGTGGCTATCCATGCATCTACACCTCCTGCCTCCTCTAATGTTCTGACCCTCGCCCTCCTCTTCCCTCATCCTGTGCTCATCTAACACATCCCGTTCCCTTTCCCATCCTCCTCTCTCCTCCTCGTCCTCTCTCCTCCGCCTCGGTTCCCTTGTCGTCGCCCTCCTCCTTTCTGCTTGACCTTTTATGGCGACAGGAACCAGCGTGGCTAAATCCCAGTTGCAGAGCGGCAAGAGCAGACAGCAGCAGCGGCACCGCGCGTGGGCGGCGCATATCACGCCGTCTTTTTCCTTCTACTTTTCCTCGATCTCCTCCTCCTCGATATCCTTCTCTTCCTCATCCGCGGAGCCCGCGGGCCCAGGTGCAGCCGAGCCTCAGCGAGCCCCCCCGCGGCAGCATTTTCGGGGAGATTGCGATTGGCAGCGGCCCCGCTTTCGACGAGGGCTCGCAGCGGCTCCTGACGGCAGCGCCGCCCGCGCCGAGCCCTTGCGGGCAGCCTCTTTTCGCCCGCTCGGTGCGCGCGAGGGAGGCGTTCGGCGCATGTGCCTCTCCCCCGCCCCGCGGGAGGCGGCCCGACCGACGTGTATACAAACAAATATGTGCATATACATACGCGCAGATCGACACACACGCTCACACACATGTGTATAGTCATAACTTTTCTCTTTGCGTGCGTACATGTACACAGACTTGCCACTTCCTATTCATATTATGAACGTTTGTACACACACACATTTGTGTGTGGGGATCGGGCCCGATGTGTATGTGTATTAGCCATTGTGGAACCCAAACAGTGAGATGTTATATTATGATCAGAGTGAGGGGGCCGAACGGTCATTCATTGTCCTTGGGTGCGTGGCTGAACAGGAAATTCGTGGTGAGAATTCTGTTTGTTGCGTTCTTGTTGCTGCTGTTGCTGCTGCTGCTGTTGTTGTTGCTGCTGTTGTTGTTGTTGTTGTTGTTGTTGTTGTTGTTGTTGTTGTTGTTGTTGAATTCTCATTTCTGAAGAATAAATATTGTTGATCCCCCCTCACTGGTGCATACTGTTTTTTCTCAATCAAGTGTGCCCCTCGACGCTCGCACCCTGTTTATACCTAACAGCGAAGACTAATAGGTTTCTAGTAGGGTCAAAAGAGAGCATCATGACGCCCCAGGGGGGTCTGGGCGCGATACGGGGCAGGGTGCCGGGGATGTTTTTAGCCAGCAGTTATACACTTCGTGGTCTTCGAGGTCCCAGAACTCCATTCCCGGGCCACATTCTGAATGCCCGGAGCCAACTGTAGGCCACTTCGTGGTCTTCGAGTTCCCAGAACTCCATTCCCGGGCCACATTTTGAATGCACGGAGCCAACTGTAGGCCACTTCGTCCTCTTCGAGTTCCCAGAACCCCATTCCCGGGCCACATTTTGAATGCCCGGAGCCAACTGTAGGCCACTTCGTGGTCTTCGAGTTCCCAGAACTCCATTCCTGGGTATGATTTTGAATGCCCGGAGCCAACTGTAGGCCACTTCGTGAACTTCGAGTTCCCAGAACTCCATTCCCGGGCCACATTTTGAATGCTCAGGCAGGCTGATGCTGAGGCTGAGGCAGGCTGAGGCTGAGGCAGGCTGAGGCTGAGGCCGAGGCTGAAGGCAGACTGAGGCTGAGGCTGAAGCAGGCTGAGGCTGAGGCTGAGGCAGGCTGAGGCTGAGGCTGAGGCTGAGGCAGGCTGAGGCTGAGGCTGAGGCTGAGGCAGGCTGAGGCTGAGGCAGGCTGAGGCTGAGGCTGGCTGAGGCTGAGGCTGAGGCTGAAGGCAGACTGAGGCTGAGGCTGAAGCAGGCTGAGGCTGAGGCTGAGGCAGGCTGAGGCTGAGGCTGAGGCAGGCTGATGCTGAGGCTGAGGCTGAGGCTGAGGCAGGCTGAGGCAGGCTGAGGCTGAGGCAGGCTGAGGCTGAGGCTGAGCTGAGGCTGAGAGGCAGGCTGAGGCTGAGGCAGGCTGAGGAGCTGAAGGCTGAAGCAGGCTGAGGCTGAGGCTGAGGCAGGCTGAGGCAGGCTGAGGCAGGCTGATGCTGGGGCAGACTGAGGCTGAGGCTGAGCTGAGGCTGAGGCAGTGAGGCCGAGGCTGAGGCAGGCTGAGGCAGTGAGGCTGAGGCTGAGCAGGCTGAGGCTGAGGAAGGCTGAGGCTGAGGCCGAGGCTGAAGGCAGACTGAGGCTGAGGCTGAAGCAGGCTGAGGCTGAGGCTGAGGCAGGCTGAGGCTGAGGCTGAGGCAGGCTGAGGCTGAGGCAGGCTGAGGCCGAGGCCGAGGCTGAAGGCAGACTGAGGCTGAGGCTGAAGCAGGCTGAGGCTGAGGCTGAGGCAGGCTGAGGCTGAGGCTGAGGCTGACTGAGGCTGAAGCAGGCTGAGGCTGAGGCTGATGCAGGCTGAGGCGGAGGCAGGCTGAGGCCGAGGCTGAAGGCAGACTGAGGCTGAGGCTGAAGCAGGCTGAGGCCGAGGCTGAGACAGGCTGAGGCTGAGGCTGAGGCAGGCTGATGCTGAGGCCTGGGGGTGGGGCTGGCAGGCAGACTGGAGGCTGAGGCTTGAAGCAGGCTGAGGTGAGGCATGCTGATGCCTGATGCTGAGGCTGACTGAGGCTGAAGCATGAGCAGGCTGAGGCTGAGCTTGGAGTGAGGCAGGCTGAGGCTGAGGCAGGCTGAGGCTGAGGCCGAGGCTGAAGGCAGACTGAGGCTGAGGCTGAAGCAGGCTGAGGCTGAGGCTGAGGCAGGCTGAGGCTGAGGCTGAGGCAGGCTGACGCTGAGGCAGGCTGAGGCTGAGGCTTGAGGCTGAGGCAGGCTGAGGCTGACGCAGGCTGAGGCTGAGGCCGAGGCTGAAGGCAGACTGAGGCTGATGCTGAGGCAGGCTGAGGCTGAGGCTGAGGCTGATGCAGGCTGAGGCTGAGGCAGGCTGAGGCTGAGGCCGAGGCTGAAGGCAGACTGAGGCTGAGGCTGAAGCAGGCTGAGGCTGAGGCTGAGGCCGGCTGAGGCTGAGGCAGGCTGAGGCTGAGGCTGAGGCAGGCTGAGGCTGAGGCTGTGACTGCGACTGCCGTTGCCACTGCGACTGCCATCGCGAATGCGACTACGACTGCGAGAACAGCAGAATTCTACAACAGGATTCTCATCTGAATCTTAAGGGGAATGCCTCCAGATATGCTCCTACACATCGCTGTTAGGTTGCTTTGCCGGGATAATTTGACAGGGAAAGTCTTCCTGCTCAAACTGGCCCCCTGGCCCCTGGGTTACAACAACAACGGCTCCCGCCTGAGACTTCCTTACAATTTAGGCAGGACCCCCGCTCCCGCCCGAGATTTCCTCGCATTTTATTCAGGAATCGCGCTCTCGCTTGGGACTTCCTTGCAATTTATTTAGGAATCGCTTTCCCGGATCTCTGGAGTCGCGCTCTCTCTGGAGACTTGCTTGCAACTTACTAAAGAATAGCCTTGCGTTGGAATTTCCTGCAATTTGCCCAAGCGCCGCGCTCCCGACACCCAGGCACCCAGGAATCGCGCCCGTTGTGGCCCCACGTGCATGCCCTTCGTGGTCCCGCTGTCGCCATTTGTGTCCCCCTCATTGTCCTACGTGGCCCAGCTGCTGCCCTCAGTGGCCCCCGCTCGTTCGCACTCTTCGTGGCCCCATACGCATTCCCTTCGTGTCCCCGCTGTCGCCCTTCGTGGCCTACTTCGTGCCCTTCGTGGCCCTGCTGTCGTTCTCTCTCGCTCTCGCTTTCGCTCGTCGTCGCCGTCGTCTTCGACGTCGTCGTCGTCGTCGTCGTAGTCGTCGTCGTGGTCGGTCCCCTGTCCGTCCCTCTTGGGGTCGGGTCGACGCTCCGCGGCCGCCCCGCCGATCAGCGCTGCCGCTGGCCAGGCCGACGGTCCGCGGCCGCCCCGCCGCTTGCCGGGGCCTGGCCTGCAGGGAAGAAAGGTATACCCCCCAAAAGGGGTTCGATCGAAGACGAAGAGGGCGGGTATCGAGGGTTTGGGAAATACGGGTTATTGGGCACTCGAGCATATAAGGGCGAGCAGTCTTAAAACGATTGTTGTTGTTGAACATTATTACTTCTAAAGAATAATTATTGTTGGGGCCCCTGGTGCACGGCCCCCTCGCCGCGCCTAGGCCGCAGCCATGTTTTCATCATTTTCGCGAGAAAGTCTCCGGCAAAACGGGTTGGTCCGGATCCGGTTGTTTTGTTACGGGCGGTTTTCCCTTGCAAAAAATAAGGCAAAGTGGACATTTCTTGTTCTAACATAACCAAACTTCAAGAATCCCTTGCAAAAAATAAGGTAAAGTGGACATTCGCGCGCGCAAGACGAAATCCTTCCAAAACCTTAGTGTTCGTAGCGATTTTAACATAAAAACATAAAAAACCAATGGTTTTTCAAAAAAAAAAGTGTCAACATTTCATCCCGCGCGCTCTTGCGGATTCGTAGGAAACCCAACACTTTTTAAACATTTCTGTCAAACGGGCTTTTGCGAGCAACTTTTTCACGTGCTTCGAACTTCTCCAACAACGGTTGCGCACCTGCCAGGGCCATCATCCCTGTCAAATAATACCATGCGGGACACATTCGTTTTTTCTTCGCGCGCGCACGCCGAAATCTTCAAAAACCATTGGGTTTCTTAGGAATTTTAGCACCGCGCAACATAAAATCATACGAATCGCACCGTAGGTCCTCGAAAAACATCTGTACGAATTTTCAAAATTTCTACCCGCGCGCGCTGTCCGAATCCTAAAAAACCAATGGTTTTTTCAACATTTATGTTACATGAGCTCGCGCGAGCTACTTTCGCAAGCTCTTTTGTCCAGTGTTGGAACTGGGGGAAAAGTCGTATACTAAGCTAGCGTCCAGAAAATGTTACCACAACAAGTCACTGTACCCATGCGCCAGTGTAGTAGCCACGGTCGTCCGCAGGCCACGAAGTGAAGTGTCCGAACGTCATAGGGCGGGAAGCTGGGTGTGGGTGGTGGCGAAGAGTCGTTTGGAAATGTTGGTAGAGCTTGAACCGGCCCCCCCACAAAGTGGGGGTATTGGCGGGCGTCGTATGAAAACCCTGGCACTGGTGAGAACGGAGTGTCCCCACGTGCTAGTAATTGTTGAACATTATTAATTCTAAAGAATAATTATTGTTGGGACCCCTGGTGCACGGCCCCCCTGCGCCGCCTAGGCCGCAGCTACATTTTCATCATTTTCGTGAGGAAGCTTCAGGTAATTCGATGTGATCAAGATCCGGTTGTTTTGTTCCCCCCCGCTTTCCCTTGCAAAAAACACTATAAAATGACATTTCTTGTTCTAATATAATCAAATTTCAAGAATCCCTTGCAAAAAATAAGGTAAAGTGGACATTCGCGCGCGCAAGACGAAATCCTTCCAAAACCTTAGTGTTCGCAGCGATTTTAACATAAAAACATCAAAAAACCAATGGTTTTTCAACAAAAAATTGTCAAAATCTCATCC